CAGGACGGTTCAGCTCCTCGGTCGCGAAGTTCCTGAAAGAGCGCGCCTTCGCCTCCTCCTCGATCTTCGCTGCGCGGCGTTTCGCCTCCACCCAGCGGTCTCTGGCATCTGTCGATCCGGGAGCGGCGTCCAGTGCTGCCCTCGCGCTACGGCGGTCGCGCACAGCCTCCTCCAGTTCAGGGTCCATGGCCCAGGGCTTGGGGTCGGATCTGGCCCCGCGGGGGACATGCAGCACGCTGCACTTCAGCAGCGCGGCAGTGAAGAGCTCGTTGAGTCGCTCTGCCGTGACGTCCTCCGGGAGCCCCGCGAGAGTTGACTCGCAGTCGTCCTCGTAGCCAGTCCAGTTTGCCTTGTGAAAGGCCCAGCGCGTCTTGCGTATCCGTCTTGGGCGGTGTCCGCTCATCGTGACGGTGGTGACCATCGGCAGGTGGTCGCTGCCGATGTCCGTGCCCACCGCCCACGTGCAGCGGCGGGCCAGGTCACGGTGGCAGAAGACGGCGTCTGGAGTGCTGGGTTGTCCCCTGTAGCTGGTCCTGGTGTGGGAGCCGTCGTTGAGGGTGGTGACACCGGTTTGTGTCATCCAGTCCGCCAGACGACGCCCCGTCTCGTCCTCCTCCATGCAGTGCCGATCCCAGGCCGGGTGGTGGGCATTCCAGTCCCCCAACAGTAGGGAGTCTGGGTTGGTGGGGAGGGCCGACGGGTCGAAGTAGTCGGACCTCTGGTCTTCTTCGCCAGGTCGGATTGGCGGCCGGTAGAAATTGTGGATGTCCAGGGTTGGCGCAGGACTGCTGCTCTTCAGGGCAGAGTTGCTGAGGTACAGGCGGATGCCGCACCACTCGGTAGTCGTGTCCGCCATGGCCAGGGGGGCGGTCTCCAGCTTGTCAAAGTTGAGACCCTTGCGGACGTAGATCGCTACGTCGCCCCCCTTGGCCGGGCCTGAGTTCCTCCGCCCCCGTGCCCTTCGGCGGACGGCCGCCGTCTGGAACCCCGGGATCTCGGTGAGAGATGAGGCGCTGAACTGTGCCTCTTGAACCGCGATGACGTCGATTTTCGACTCCGATAGCCAGCCTTGGAGCTCTGTCAACTTGCGACGTAGTCCCTCGGCGTTCCAGCAGGCGATCTGCAGGCGGCTTCGAGTCTTGAGGTTGGCGCGGTATCGGCGGTTCTTGGCTCTCCTGCTTCGACCCCGGGAGCTCCTTCCGGCGGACGCCGCCGCACCCCCGCCGCCGGCACTAGCGGCGGGGGGCGCCGACTCACTCATTCAGCGCAGGCCGGCGCCGCTGCGGACAGCCTCCAGGCGGCATGCCCTCGCGCGGCACCGGCCCGCTGAGCGTGCACCAAGTGTGCGGGTCGACGTGCAGATGGTGTAGGGACGACGGCGCGGTGGAGCGTCGGCCGCCGGCGCCCGGCCCCGAGAGGGCGGGCTGGGACCCGATTGGCTTCCCCCGCCGCTCTCCACGGCGGGGGCGGGGACGAGCCCCACGGAGTCCACCACGTGAAGGTGGGTCCCTCCAGACTCCGACAGACTCCGCTGTCTCGACAGCCTCGCAGCTACCGTCACGGATGCATCACGGATGCTCGACTGACCGACTCCTAGTGTGTGGTGATATGATATCCTCGTTTCATCCAAACTGTTTTTTATCGGGTTCGACTTCATCAATTTGTACTTACATCCGACTTCGACCTCGTCCAGTGGAGGCTTATTGCTAGGGATGTTAAAACTTGGATTATGCTTTTTATTGTGCATTTCTTATCTTGGGCTGGGATGGGATACATGGCATAGATCGCAAATGTGCCGCTTCTCATTCAAATAAGTGGAAACTAGTGGGAACTCAAATAACTCCTTATCCCACAACTCCTTCTTATCCCTCCTTACCCATACATGCGTCGGCAGCCGGCAAAATGCAGCACCGTTCAATGTTCATACAGATACGAGCATGAGATACCGCCAGGCGCCTATACGCGATAATATATCCCCGATTCCGTGATATGCCTATTGTATCATTTCATCAGCATTATCCGTCCTTCACCCTGTCATCAATCTGCTGAAGGCAGATCCCTAACCGCTTATTATAATTTCGAGATGTGTAATAAGCCGAATACGTCATGTCCATTACCTACCGCCTGGAACGTCCATCTGCATCTGCTGGGAATCCGTGCACGGTCCGAGTGTCCAGTCCAGAGTGACGTCACCAGCACTGGACTGACGTCATTTGTATACCTATCGTAAGTCACAGAGATGACGGACGCTCGCGCTGTGACGGACACATGCGGAAGTGGTTCTATCATTGGCCTGGATTGGCGATGGTATGTATCAGTCTCAACATCGGCACAAAATATTACCTAGTAAATAATTGTTGCGCGTTTCACTCTCACCATTATTTTTATTTGTTACGAAAATAAAAACCACACAAATGAAAAGGTGCCTACATGTTAATTTCTCTCTCTCTCTCTCTCTCTCTCTCTCTCTCTCTCTCTCTCTCTCTCTCTCTCTCTCTCTCTCTCTCTCTCTCTCTCTCTCTCTCTCTCTCTCTCTCTCTCTCTCTCTCTCTCTCTCTCTCTCTCTCTCTCTCTCTCTCTCTCTCTCTCTCTCTCTCTCTCTCTCTCTCTCTCTCTCTCTCTCTCTCTCTCTCTCTCTCTCTCTCTCTCTCTCTCTCTCTCTCTCTCTCTCTCTCTCTCTCTCTCTCTCTCTCTCTCTCTCTCTCTCTCTCTCTCTCTCTCTCTCTCTCTCTCTCTCTCTCTCTCTCTCTCTCTCTCTCTCTCTCTCTCTCTCTCTCTCTCTCTCTCTCTCTCTCTCTCTCTCTCTCTCTCTCTCTCTCTCTCTCTCTCTCTCTCTCTCTCTCTCTCTCTCTCTCTCTCTCTCTCTCTCTCTCTCTCTCTCTCTCTCTCTCTCTCTCTCTCTCTCTCTCTCTCTCTCTCTCTCTCTCTCTCTCTCTCTCTCTCTCTTTCTCTATTTTTCTTTGTCTTGTTACTTTTCCCAAACCTACTTCATTGATGTGATAACAATGATAATATGGTTTAGGTAATGCCAGTCGTTAAGAGCAACTTTAAGCCGTCTGGAATTTCGAGTGAGCTGATGACATGAATGAGCTCATGTTTTGCCTGTTTACTCTGTGCTCGGCGACGGTGATATCGTCTCCTGAAATGTCGGTCTGCCGACTGCCGGGCTCGAACCATGGGGCTTAAGACATAAACCGTCCGTAATAAGCATGGGGCACCGTCTCGGATTATGTCCAAGTAGGTACTCCCAAAAGATTATTATGCTTATCTATTGTTGTGTTTATGGTAAAAATTGCTTATTCAATTGGCTTCATTTGCTTACGTCCCTTGGGCCATGGCCTGGATTGGCGATGGTATGTATCAGTCTCAACATCGGCACAAAATATTACCTAGTAAATAATTGTTGCGCGTTTCACTCTCACCATTATTTTTATTTGTTACGAAAATAAAAACCACACAAATGAAAAGGTGCCTACATGTTAATTTCTCTCTCTCTCTCTCTCTCTCTCTCTCTCTCTCTCTCTCTCTCTCTCTCTCTCTCTCTCTCTCTCTCTCTCTCTCTCTCTCTCTCTCTCTCCTCTCTCCTCTCTCTCTCTCTCTCTCTCTCTCTCTCTCTCTCTCTCTCTCTCTGTCTTTCTCTCTCTTTCTCTATTTTTCTTTGTCTTGTTACTTTTCCCAAACCTACTTCATTGATGTGATAACAATGATAATATGGTTTAGGTAATGCCAGTCGTTAAGAGCAACTTTAAGCCGTCTGGAATTTCGAGTGAGCTGATGACATGAATGAGCTCATGTTTTGCCTGTTTACTCTGTGCTCGGCGACGGTGATATCGTCTCCTGAAATGTCGGTCTGCCGACTGCCGGGCTCGAACCATGGGGCTTAAGACATAAACCGTCCGTAATAAGCATGGGGCACCGTCTCGGATTATGTCCAAGTAGGTACTCCCAAAAGATTATTATGCTTATCTATTGTTGTGTTTATGGTAAAAATTGCTTATTCAATTGGCTTCATTTGCTTACGTCCCTTGGGCCATACCGCAGTGGTAGTGTCCCATTTTGCTTGCATTTATACAGTTAACATATTTTCCGCGGCCATAGCCAACTATAGCTGGGCAGTGGCCACATAAAGTAACTCATCTGTCTGTCGTCGCAGGAGTTGTGTAACGCTGGTCCGCCCTCCACCAATGACGGGGGAGGTGCTGTGACGTCATATGGTGAGTTCCGGTACCGCGAACTATGGACCGACTCGTCCGCAGAGGTCCAGCGAACTGAAAGACGATGACGTCACACTGCATCCGCCCTCGCCGTCCTCAGGACCAATTCGTCCACATCCCCTCACGCTCCCTCTCTGGGCTGGCGGTCACCCCACCCTGACAACCGGTGGACGATGTCGGGTCCTCACCGAGACCCGTAAATCGTCTCGGGGGTGACCGTTTGGGAGGCAGTCCGGTCCCACCGGCTCACTGTTATCTCCGCGGCTCACTGTTGGAGTGCTACACAGCCCAATGTCTACGCCCTGTCCTAAAATCCATAGCTCTGCAATGGTCTTTTTAGACTGAAAGAGCTTGCTCGCAACAAAATAATTTAACAAACAAACGTGTCAGCCAAATGTTCAGACCTGCAGTGAACGTGAAGTGTGGAATTGAGTCTGGTGGTTCGATATGGCAATGATATACTTACATGGCCAACACAATTTCCTTGTTTAGGCAACAAAATTTCCTTTTTTAAGTTTTCGGCATGCACCCAAGTTCTAGATAAGATGTGAAATAGGCACTTTGAACACACGGAGGTGAAAGGAAGAACATCTTACGGAACAGAAGAACATCTTATTCGTTCTCATTCCACCCGCGTGTGACTTCGAGCTCTCTCGTCGAGCCGTCGCGGCAGCGGCTGCTCACTCCGCTATCGGTTCGAATTCCGGTCCCCTCCCCCCCCCCCCTCCCCAGCGGCGGCGACAGGGGGCGGCGGGCGGCGGGCGGCACTCAGTGTGCGCACGGGCCGCCCGCGGGACGGCACTGGTGCCGAGTGGTGCCGCGTGGTGCCGTGTTGTGCCGGAGACATGGGCGGGACGGTGTGCGATGTGGTGTGGGTCGTGGTGACGGTGGTGCTACTCGTACGCCCGTGTCTGGCTCAGTCAGGTGAGTGCGCGGTGCGCGGTGCGAGATTCGGCGGAGAGAGGTGGTCCTGACTTGTTTTGTGCGGTGCCATTGGGAGTTGTTTTGCCACCGTACATACGCAGATATGCACATTATACGCGCAAACATGATTCGACAGTTGCAGTCAGCAAGTTTTTCAAGTTTAAAGCCTCTACACAGTAAATAAAGTTATATTGCGTTATCCTGACACACTCATGTTGATGTCACAAACAGGAAAACTAAATATGCATACGAAGGCCTGATTGCTGAGATCAAAGTTATTACCTACTGTAGAAAAAAAAGACCGACTATAGCCGTTTTTACGACTCGGCTATCTGGTGCACATTTGGTGCACATTAGGTGCATATATGGTCAAATTAGGTTCAGTGCATTATTTAGTAACTATCAGCTAAAGGGTTGCACTAATCACTTATATGGCTGCTTTGTCAAATGATCAGACATTATTAACATTATCGATTAAAACACTGAAATAAATAGGTACGAGATATGAAGATAGTTGCTGTAAAAGGGATTTGGTGCAGATTTGGTCAAATTTTAGGTACATTCGCCAGATAGGCCGTCGTGAAAACGCAAAAAAACGGGGGGCAGTGGGGGCAGCTTGCCCCCCCCCCCAACTCTGGGGCCGTGGGGGCGGTTGCCCCCACAGCTTTGAGACGGAATACCACACTTTTTTTGCAAATGTTTTCTTTTTTTGTTGAAAAAGCCGAGGGGTGAAAAATAAGTGGCCTAAAACCGGTGAGAAAACTAGATTTGGGGGTACCCTAGGTTGATCTCTATTATGGTGTGCCCCCCCCCCCCCCCCACTCGGAAAGTAGTTCCCGCGCCCCTGTGAAAACGGCTAAGGTAGTTTTAGACGTGACAATGGGAACTTATTTCCAGAGTATACGCTTATTTCTTCCGTTCCCAACGCAACATCTTTGCATTTTGCATAGACGGTTTTAAATATTCCAAAATACTCTGAGGAACGTATTTTGGAAATACATAAAGCTCACCATTTTGCATGCAGAGATTGCGCAGTGTTCGCTCGTCTTTCCTGTGGAGGGACTACAGAGGATGTGGCGGTAGCACTATCTCGCAGATGTGACGCCTCTGACACACACACAGCATCCTCTAGTCCTCGCCGTCTGCCGAGCGGCTATGGTAGTATATAGTGGTCCACTATCGATGTGCTCATCCCACTCACCTCGAGCATTTAGTGGGACGATGCCGCTCAATGCTCAATCTTTGCTCGACAAATATCAGGAATGGGCTGTATCAATAAGTACATTTTGATAAGTCGATGTTTAACCCATTTAGGTCTTAGGACATCAAGGGTTAAATTCAGGACAACTGAAATTGTAATTTAACCTTTAAGTGAAATAAAATTACAATAAGCGATTACCTACTGGAACTTAACGTACTGCACGTGCATTTCCAGGTTTCATGGCAAATAACGACATGACATGTTCACTATATTCCTCGGAACGCACCACTATACGTCACCGAAACCTTTTTTCCTGCTCATTTGGTGTCAGATGTCATGTCTTCTCACCCGCAAATCATGGAACACAAGTCATTTATCATGGCATTGGCGGTGAAGACAAAACCGGACACACCCAAACAAACATGAAGCGAAACAGTTCGCTCATCGCTTATGTCACCTGATTCCACACATACAGGGTGGGGCAGCATAATCGGGAATAAATATCAAACGGGATTATTTGGTCATGAATTTAAAAATATAGCTCCAAGCACTATTTTAACAACATCCCATCAATCGGTCACCTTTTACCTATCCCTCATCCTATTTGACCGCCCTTCGCGTCGATGACCTTCTCAAGGCGGGTCCAAAAGCACGCGCATGCACGTGCAGCCTCCTGCTTGTCCATGATCGCCCATCAGCTTCGTACCTTGCACTGAAGACCGTTTTTACTGATGATAAGTTGTTCATTAAACTTCTACCAAAAAACGCTCCATATAAAGAATTTGGTCGGATTTAAATCGGCGGAGTTGAAGGACCAGAAGTTTTTGGTTCATCTCAGGTGGAGGTGCCCTACACAATAACATGTCGTCCTCACTGCAGTACCAGCACGGACAGAGTCCTCGTAAGACGTGATCTGGACCGTCAGTGATCCTCTCTTCCGACGACTCCACGTGAGTCTGCCAGAGTGTGGATGTATTTACCAGAGGTGCTCGTTTTATCCGGGCTCGATGAAGTAGGGTGCACCACGTGCACCTCCCTTGAAGACCACCCATAGGTCCATCACCTCAACAGGATGTTTACTTTGCATGACCGCTGCAATATTCTCGATACAATCCCCTATATGGCATGCCATTCTTTTTTATCGTATTCCAGTCGGTGATAAGATTTTTGGTCGCTGAAGTTTTGAACATTGTTTCTTTTTAATATGCTCAAGAGCTTCTTCCTTATATTCAAGTGAGTCATCTTGTATGTCCTCTGCTAAGAGTTATTTTACGACGATTACGTTAACTTTTTGTCCTAAGTATCCCCACACAATCCTTATCGTCCGTGATAACACGTTGACCTGTCCAGCAACCTTTACGTGGAATGGCATTGTTTTAAACAAAATGTTCTTGTTTTACTCGTTTAACATTAGTGTCTATGGGCGCGCGCAAAGCACTTGGAGCACCGTCGAACTATTTTGCTGCTCTTTTCCAGGAAGTTGCATGCTCATGGATGTAGTCATGTCAGATGATGCACAACTTTTGGGCGTTTCATTGCCATGATATAATTTATCAAAATAATGCCATGCCTACTCATGACCAGAGCCCAAAAAGCATTCCCGATTATGCTGCCCCACCCTGTATACCCAGGAGCGGATCTGGAACCGGCGGCTCTCTTTGTCTTGACGGGCTTCGGCGATGCACGGGCCGAAGTCCTGTACGCAAAGTCGAACCTCTACATCCACCTATGCGACGTGGAGGAAGCAGGGCGGAAGAGTCAGGTCCGCAAATCAAAATTTATCACTGTAAATATGGGCATTAAAAACTACTATATACCTACTTACATTGTGCCTATATAATGCAAAGATTTGTAACAGCAGTGATCAATGGTCATGACAAGCAGATAATAAGATAAAATGATAAGTATAGATGATACATAAGATAATATAGCTTTCTTTGATATGTTTATCCTTCAGGTGCGCGTCTGGCTGTCGTGCGGTCGCTGCAACGGATATCCCCGTTGTCCCGGTAAATATGACAGACCCCTCCGACAAACGCATTATTCTGACCTACACCCTCACCCATGAACGAATGGAACGACTGACCTCACCCTGTATTGCACGTATGTCATTGTTTGATTCTACCGTCATTGTCCTGGTTCATGTCTGACGACCTGCGCCTTTTGTCCCCAGTGTTTGGCCAGAGCATGGCGCGGCCGGAGCTGGAGCCGGACGTTGAGCAGATGGTGCTGCAGCCGGAGGATACCCTGAGGGTCACCTGCCGCGCCGACCGACCCGTCACCTGGGAGACGACGTCACTGGCCAGGGTGAGAGCGTCACGTGCGACACGGGTGGTCATTTTACCGACGGCAGGGCTGGTGGTTCAGTGCGGGTTCCGACTCTGCAAATCATGCGGGCGGTGTTGGACGTGCCAGTACCCTTCGCGAATCGCCACCCGAGCAAGCGGCTTTGGTTTGTATGGGTCAATGTATTTGATCGTCTTGATCCTCTCTTTGACCATATAGCGGCTGATCCGAGGGGTAGATTCAGTGGCTGGGGTCGCTCTCACCGGTAGCTAACACACAGCTGCGGCAGAACACGGATCGGCGGGGGCTGGAGCGGATAATGTGGGGTGACGACCTTCGTGGGGCGTCGCTCACGACAGGATATCCTGATTCCTGACAGCCGGCGTGTGTTGAACAAACACGGGGCGGCTCCCACCGAGCGGGTCGGTCCTTCCCAGCCGGACCCTCCCCCAAAGGCACGCGCCGGGCCGCCGGGCTTCCCAGCAGAGCGGTCCTCCTGACACGGTCGAGGCCCAGCGCTGCAATGTGCCTCTCGCCGCTGGAGGTGTTGATGGTGAAAAAAACAAGGCTGAATTCCGGAACAGCATTCGGAGCGTTTGTAGGATGTGCAGGGCCGAAGCCGTAGCGCAATATCTATGCGTAGTGTGGCGAGAGACGAGAGTCTTCCCACCGTACCATTGACTGAATGACTGCTGGCGACTCTGCGGGGCTACTTGCCATCCGGGCATACCGTTTATCTGGAAATAAACACAAATCTGCAGCTCCACTACGAGTGACGTCGGTCATACCAAAACAGTGATATCAGTGAGCTCATCGGACGGACGGCACTGACAGCCATATCAATCTCAGGCATTTCAAGCAACTCTTGATTAAACGCTTCCGGGCCAGCGGGCCTGGAAACGTTTAATCCTACCGAACTTTTTTCTTCTAGCATTCACAAGGTCGCGTCTGGTAGCGATTTAGGTATTCGTAACATTATCAATATCGGCTGAGACGCATGGGCTTAGTATTTTAGCCTGTCATGTTTTTGTTTGGCGAGCTATACTGCATGTCTTCTTTCCAGTTAATTTGGTCTGTAGGTCAGATGAGCAGGGAAGGTCCTGGAGATCTGCCAATGAATTGAATTCAAAATTACTACATCAGAGACCTGCAACATGACCTTAACTAATGCTCCGGCAGAACAATAGGTGATCAGGAATGTACCATTTACCTACTGACTTCTGTATGTATGTCGAAATTCGAACCTGATGCTGCCTAACATTCTCACTCACGTTTACAAATAAGTTTGGCATTGAACGTGGCGTCCACTTCCAATGTGCAGTGTATGACGCAATGTCCCGGTAACACATCTAACCCATCCGTTATCGACTGTTACAGGATATCAGCCAGAGGGTCACCATAGTCAGTGGATCTGAAACGACCGGTGCCTACACGCACGCAGCGCATTTAGTGGTGAGACACGCTTTCGATTGATAGATGTAGACAAATACAATTTATAGACAGCTTTACTAAACATTGATTCGTTGAGTTTTCCAGTTTGAAATGATTGTCTAGGACGTTAATGCCTATGAAGATTATTCTGCAGTGCATAGGTACGTACTAGGTAGGCATTTACATATAGATACCGGGTGCATAAGTACGAGCATTAATGGCGAATAGTACCAAAACATAGGTATTAACTGTAAAATAGGTATCAAGTATGCTCGTATATAGGTACCTATAAACCGTTTTCACGACGGTCGACGGGCTATATGGTGAATGCACCTAATTTGACCAAATCTGCACCAGAGGCCTCTTGCACCAAACTACCTAGCTAGGTAAAGTCGAAAAACCGGTTTCAGAATAAGCCAATCTAACGGTGGTAAATTTGTTTGCAATAGCCCAATACATAATCCTACATGTGCTTGCAAAATTTTGCATGCAAATTGTTACATTTGAGACTTGGACTGGGTATACGATGCAAAATAATCCAAGCATTGGTGCAAGAGGATTTTGGTGCAAGAGGCCTCAGATCTATTTTACAGCAATTACCTATCTTCAAATCATGAATTATTTTAATCGAAAATTCAGACTGCTAAGTTAAAAAATGAGCTGTCTATAAGCATCCGTGTATAAACTTTTAAGAAACACAAGCCGTTCTCACGACGGCCATCTGGTAGGTACACGTTTGGTGCAGATTAGGTGTAGATCTGGTGCAGATTTGGTGAAACTAGGTTCGGCGTGTTTCTGAAAATTATCAGTTTGGGCTGCACAGATGCTAATGTATCTCATTTTTTCAAAATATCAGACATTATTTTCGATTGAAACACAAAAAAAATAAATTCATGATATGAAGATATTAGCTGTAAAAGAGATTTGGTGCAGATTTGGTCAAATTAGGCGCATTCGCCAGATAGCCCGTCGTGAAAACGACTATAGACCACCGACAAAGTATTGTTCAATGTTCAATGCTCACGTTTAATGGAGAATTATGTCCACCAATTACCTACGTTTCTACGTACAGGAACATACAACTTCCAAGCTTTACTTATGTATTTGTGTCAACCTACATATAGCAAATGAGACTCAGATACTATTTTGATATTATGTTTTCAGATACAAGACGTTTCATATTTAGACGTGGGCTATCAAACGTGTCGATTCGCTGGTGCCTCGGAGGTAGACCAGGCAGCATCGGTGTATCTCTTCGTTAACGGTGAGTGCCTTTCACGAGCAGCAGCTCTCATTCGTCTTCTCCCTCGAATGAGGATGTCATCTGGTTCAGAAATCAGGATTCTCAAATTTAGCAGCCGTCCCTCGGTCGGGCTTAATGGATCCACAGCACAGACGTCCGGTATTTTCCATGTATTTTCAGGACTGACTGAACATTTGTTTGCCGTTGGCACGGTGCATTTTAGGCGAAAGACACTAAAAAATGGTACATACCTATATGCCCAGCATGCGGCACTCCTGAACTCAGCGCTCTGTTTGCAGACTCGAAAAATCTGCTGGTGTGGCAGGGCAGCTTCATGTCGGTGACCCTGAGCCAGAATCAGCGCGGAGTCATCCCGTGTCGGCCCAGCCACCCGGGGGTGCGGGTCTCGCTGTCCCGGCTCTCCTCCCCACAGGTGAGAGCTGGGGGATCGCAGGGAATCGGCCCCAAGTTGCAGGGTGTTTTGTACATAGAACCGTGCCCGCTTAGTTTCCACTCTCTTAACGCTGGCGAAGATTTAAAAGTTGCGAGGTAGTTCCATCCGTAAAGGATAACCACTTCTGTGCTTATCGAACTGTTGAGCGCCATTGGAATAGACGCTATAGGCAGAACGGTGACTGGTCACGGCTCTTCAGCAGGCGGTGCAATATCTTACGTTTCAGACATGCTTGATTAGTTCTTCAGTGAAATCGCCTTGTCGAACTGTTTGACCGGACATTGAAAACCGATGCGACATAGATTAAAGCATCCCGATTAGTACCGCATACGCATATGTCTGGAAATATTTTATTTATTGTTTCGACACCATGTGGTTAGTTAGGCCGACGACCACGGCTGCTTAGGCTGCAGCCACAAAACGAACAATACCTACTACCTTATGCTCATTATATACATACGTACCTACTGGAAAACGAGCGAAATCTAAGGTGTGTTTGATGGGCTAGGGCTTTCGCTATGGATAGCTGACCTGTATAAATGCTGTATGATGTTCAGTTGACAAAAGACAAACCATAGAAATACGCTTTTATGTACAAACCTTTGGTTTCTCGATATACAAATTACAAATCGTTATTAATTAATTATGTTTAGTTGTCCACTGTCCATGTATATCTACTGGTCATGTGCGCAATGAAGACGCAGCGGCGAGGTGCGGTGGGGCCGGGCGTGTGATCCAGGGTCCGGTCTGGGAATAAGCGGCCGCTGCGCCGGTGACCCCTCCAACAGGCGGAGCCGGGGTTCGAGCTGCGCGACCGGCTGGGGCTGGTGACAGACCGAGTTTCGATGCAGATGGCCGGCGTGTACAACTGCGTTTTGAACGGCCAACCGGCTTCTGTGATCGTCTACGTGTCTGTTACCGGTACGCCCCCCCCCCCCAATTCTGCTCGAAACCCTCCTTCTCCCTAAACCGGTCACGTGAGACACTGCATGGGTCACGTGACGGCCGAGTGACGCTTGTTGCTGTGATTGCCGCGTTTGCGCTTTGTTTGCCAATGCGACATGCGATGGCCCCTGGCTATACGGCGGCGTCTGGGTCTGAACGTGTGACCCGTGTGACCCGAGCCGGCCGTGACCCGCTGTGTCGGCAGATGACCTTTGACCCCGTGGAGGGGTTCGTCGTACCGTCTCCATCCCTGTTTGACGCCGGCCAGGCGATGTGCACCGCCCGGCAAGGTGGCGTGGTGCAGAGACTGCAGGTGTTCGTGGTCTTTAACCGTGAGTATGGCCGGTGGTATGGTGGGTATGCGGAGTATGTTGGGTCGGATGGTCGGTCAGATGGTCGGTCCGAAGTCGGCCGGCAGGCCATGGTGCTCAGGGGCTGTAAAAACTATTGGGAGCTAAATGTTACGTACTGCTACTAATGCTTTACCTATCTGTGGGAGAATATTGATGTGGCAGATAGGCAATTATTTTCCCTCTTGCTCCTTTTCACTAATGCATGTAACACCCCGTGTTCACTTTGTCGATCGTTTTTTATTACCCTGTATGATTCATTCGCTAAATAAAGATTAATGTTTCCTGGCAACAGTAAAACCATCGAATATTATGTTTTAAATACGCATGCATTGTATCTAATTGGCTGGATCTTTTGGCGGGGTATGACAGGATGACGATATTATTTGCACTGCACAATGGCACTGACCGCCTACCTACCCTAAAAATGGTTAACGCCTGAAAACCGAGTCTCACTATCATTGTGCTTGTTCTATGTCTTACGAGTTCGTTGCGCGAATATCGGTTTCACTTCCTGATTGACATACCTAAAGCGTTTTGTGCTCTGTCTTGTTCACTGTGGGTTTCGCCGTTCACCCACTCTGATGGGGCAAGTTGTTTCTTCTGAACGTCTTAAGGTCAGGTAAATCAGTTTGCTTTGCTTGCTAAGATGTTATGCGAAGTTTTCTCGTTTCTGTGATTGCCGCATTTTCTCCGCAGCTGTCGGTGCATGCAATGCTACTGCTCAAAGCCCGCTCAATTCTCCACTGCATGCGTGAACGAAGTGCTTTGCTTGCTCTTTTCATCAAGCATGCCTGAGCAGCGTACTATAGCTCAAGAGACGATATTGGAGATATTGCACAATTTATTGTATCTAACATTTGAAAGACTTTTTATTTTAAAAAAATGATGCTCCTTTTAATCAACATTTGGTGGTCAGAGCGTTTTAACTTTACATTCACTTTAATTTGTGTACATTTAAGTCTCGCCTCAGGTCCCCCGTCGTCCCACTCGTCATTTGTCAGACGACCTGACTTAACCTAGCATACTGACCTGACCTGACCTGACCTGGCCTGACCGACAGCGGCCACTGAGTCGGTGCACCAGCCCAGCATTGACGTGTCCGACGCGAGACGGAACGCCGTCGTTGGCTACAACTTCAGTCTGAAGTGCTATGTGCACCAGGAGGCCGGGCAGAAGCTCAGCTTTTTCTGGGACGTGCCGCCAGCCAGCACCGGGCTCAAGGTAGGCTGACCCGCACAGCACGACACTGAACCAAGTGGAAATCTAGGCACACATGTGTGCAAACTGTATTGCATCGTGAGTGAAGTAAACCACCATTAATACATGAAGTCCGTCCGTTCATCTAACTGCTGTCAGATGTTGTTAAGAATCTGGAGCTCCTCACAGTCACAGTGCTTGAATAGTCGCTATCATCCTGTGCCTAAATAGCACCGTGTCTAAGTTATGTTAGTCCCGTGTCGTGCAACTTCCCACCATTGTCTTACCGCTTTCCGACCATGTCTGGTGTCTAACAGACGAGACGACCCCAGTCATCAGAACCCCTGTCTCTAATGCCAAGTCTTACCTCTAACTTACTCCCGTCTTACTATTGTCTTACCCCTGTCTTACCCCTTTCTGAGCCCGTCTGACTCGTGTTCCGTAATGCTGTATAGACGGGCCGTATCATTGTGAGACCGCCTCGGAAGACGACCACCACCGGCTTCACCAGCGAGCTGGCGGTGACGGACGCCCGGCCGGAGGACACTGGGGGCTACACGTGCCGCGTGGAGGACCACAACGGACACACCAACAATCGCTCTGTCCGGGTCACCGTTCACAGTGAGTTGGAGGGGAGGGGGAGTCTCTCACTGAGCTGGGGGAGGGGTCGATATGTACAGGGGCGAGGGACGGCTGCCGGGATGGGAGGGAAGGGACATAGCTCGTCTTATCTTACCCGACTAACATAACTGAACCTGATCCAAGCTAACCTCACCTCCCTTGATCTGACCCGACCTGACCTTACTCGAGCTGATCATATCTGACCCAGTCTGACCTGACCTCACCCCTCAGGTCCGAACGTGTCCAGCGTCAACCTTCAGACGGACGTGCAGGCCTTCTCGTTGCGTCTGGGCGACTCTGTCAAAATAGTGGTGAACGTCGAGGCGCGCCCGGCCCCGGTGATAACGTGGTTCGACCCGGACGACGCCGTCATCATCACCGATCGTGAGTTGTTCCTCCGGAGAGGATACCTCGATCGGTCGGCTCTTTGAGGTCGGAGCCGAGGATAAGGATGGAATGAACCACGGTGGCCTACTAAGAGACAGGATGGGCTGCTCCGACCTTACAGTGATCGGTAGGGGAGGAAGGGGATTGCATGGCGGCACAGATGCCGGAAGAAGGATCATAAAAGAGAATACGATCAAAGGGTTGACAGTTAGGATAAAAGTAGATACTGTCTAACTTTCTGCTGGTCTGGCTTTACTGTAACCCTGCCTATCTTCTGATTTGCCAGACTTTGTGGCTTAGTTGTTTACAACCTGTCGGTTGGTGTTTGGAATATGCCACCTAAGCTCTCTCTGACGTGAGCTCACTCGTTCTCACAGCCCAGAAGTACGAAGTATCTCACACTACCGAGCAGACGATCCTGAAGATCCTGGATCTGCGTCTGGAAGACATGGGCCAGTACCGCGTGGAGGCGATGGCGAGCAGCAACACCAGCTCGGACTTTGACGAGCTCATCTTCAACGTCACCGTGAACGGTGAGTGCAAGGCCGTATATAGGTCAGTGGTCACTGGTCAGTGTCAGGGTCAGTGCAGACCCGGCCGGCGCCCAGCGCCGCAGTTGTTAGACGCGGGGTGTGCAACTGCGCTGTCTGTTGCATGGTCATGGCCAACGGTCATTCTTAGGAGTTAGGACTGTCACCAACAATGCGAAGTGTTCGTATATGTTTGCTCAGGAAACACAACTGAATGAGCTGCGATCCAGCCGAAACTGCGGTTGGTTAGTCGCGATTTATATGGTGTGCATCACTGCAGTGTGCTCTGTACATAAAGCATCAAACTTTAAACGGAAAGCGATCTTACCATTCATGGCGTAGCTAATAAACCTGATCGTAACCTCACGAGTGTCTATCTGTGACCTGACGGTGACCTTTTGCGTTCGGCAGCTGAGGCGGAGGTGCGCCTGGACGCCAGTGAGGGGTACTACCTGGCCGGCGAGAGGTACCAGCTGCGGTGTACCGCCACCGGGTACCCCACGCCCAGCCTCGAGTGGCGCTTCGAGGCCTGCAACTCGAGCCTCTCCTGTCCGCCCGACTTCCCTCTGCCAACGGTGAGAGCCCTGGTAGTAACTGACTCACTTGTTCCGTGGTTCATGTTCATATGGTTTCCTGGCGGTTTTTAATGGCATACTCGTACTCGTACAATGGTGAATGTGTCGTCACTGCTGTTATGGCCTACATAATGCATATGGTTTGCAATCTATTTTTGATCAAAAAATTGGCTTTGGAAGACCTGTCACCTGTGAACGATCCCTGTGCAAGTGGTCTACTCGTACGGACCATTTGCTGTTGAGCGTCTACTCGCTGGTCTTGGACTCCGTCCTTCCGCTTTAGCCGAATCTGGCCTCATCACCAGCTACCCCCCCTCCCATCCCCTTAATCAGGTGACGCTGGCCAACGACGAGCAGGAGACCCAGCTGGAGTCGAAGCCGTTCCTGGTGCAGAGCGACCTCACCCTCACCGCCAACCTCTCCGGCGTCTACTGGTGCTACGCCAATAACAGCGAGTCTAACGTCCCGGCGGTGGCTGAGCATCGCTTCTTCGTCTCAGGTCAGCGGGTCATCCGAGTCATGACCTTCAGCGTCCCCTGACATTTACGTTGTAAATTTCTGAAGATCGAAAGGCATATTAGTTAGCAGATAATGGTATTCGTGCCTCTTCTGGCTCAACGAAGTATCGTTTGATCCCGCTTTGGCAATGCAATACGGTGTGCCACGTAACGCATTTCACCTGCACTCACTTGGTTCGTTATATCCACAGACATTCCCCGTGGTTTCGGCATCCTGAGGAGCAATTCGACCATCATCGAGGGCGACAACGTGACGCTCTCCTGCGGCGGGAGCACGCTCGACTTCCCGAGTCCCTCCAGCTTCGAGTGGCAGTGGTCCCGCTCCGAAACGGCGAGACCGGTGCCCGTCACGGACCTACCAGGTACCGAACTGATATCATGCGAATGCTGGGTATAGAAGTAAAGCGTTGAAATGGTTTCTCCACTTGGCGAATAGGCTGTTTAAATGTTACGTGATCCTACCAGAAATCCTTTTAAGTTCAATATCTATTGTTATCCTTTATTTTGGCCGGACAACGTAGCGACTCCATATTCATATCAAATGTTCAAAGATTACCTTATCTATCGATGAATATTTACAAGTACTGAAGAACCTTTCTAGTTATCAGGTCAACGTAACAGTCAGTATTTGCGATCCTCTTCTGTGCTTCATGATTAAAATCCCGTATTGATTTAAAATGAGTTGTGGACTCGGCGATGGAGCCGATATCAGTGCCTATATGCCTGTTTATCATGTTCTGAACTTGACAAGTGTAGATACTCGCATAAACTAATCACCGACTCCGTGGTAGTGCTCTGACGCCAGTGGATATCATATTCGCGACCTCATGCTGTGTTCCGACCCCGGCAGGGGTGCGGCTGGTGGACCGGAGCACCGGGTACTCCCACCGGAGGGTGCTACTGCTGGAGCCCGTCCAGATGACACACGCCGGCCTCTTCATGTGCTCCGGGACGGACGTGCACGGCGTCCAGCAGCGCTCTAATACAATGCTGGGTGTCACTGGTGAGTGGCGTGGACCGGACAGATGGAGCGGGTCACCGTATAGATACTCTGAAACGGTCACAGTGCTGATTCTTGGACCGGGGAGTGTCGAATGTCGATCCACTATCGAACAGTTGTGCAGATAGCTTATGTGCAGTACAAAATATATGTGCAATGGCCATAAATATAACCAGTAATAGTTGGCATTTACATGCCAAGCACGAAGATAAATCCATCCGTAGTCTCTGACCAGTGCAAGTCCCCATTAGAACCCATGTTTATTGTTCATCTCACCCTCATGGTTGACCCGTATCTGACCTACCCATTGACCCATTTCTGTCTTACCGATGACCCGTGCCTGACCATTAACCCATATCTGACTTCGTGACTCATGCCTCATCAGCAATGATCTAAACCATCCTGCACCTCGCTTCCATCACACAATGAATCACCGGCGACACTCGCTCTGACGTTGATCACTCCCGCGTCCTGACAGCCTCCCAGAAGCCGGTGTTTACGTCTGAGGCCAACATGGACAAGTCAGCGAGTCTTGAGCTGGAGGAGGGTGACCGGGCGGTGTTCAACTGCACCGTCTCGGGTAGACCGGCGCCCACCATCACATGGACAAAGGTCAGTAAGAGAGGGATACAGGTCGCGGTTAGGCAGCGCACCGAGCTCAAGTGGGAGAATGAAGGATATATCCGTAGTGGCTAAAGTGGAGGGGAGAATCAAACTGAGGGATCGGTGAGTGTTGCTTGCCACAACTTTCATACACAACACACACATTGATAAAGCTTCGATATTTCTAAGTGCACAAATACCGACAGCCTCGGTAGTTTGTTCGCAAGATGTCGAAACAAAGCTCCATGATTCCAAAAACCAAGCCCACCGTCAGCTCCCCAGTGGACCACTTCCAACCACTGACCTCCACCCGCTGCATGCCCACAGGACGGCGCGCCTCTGCTGCTGGAGGACAACACCCGACGAATTCGACTGCTGTCGGGTGGCCAGCGTCTGGTGATCGGCACAGTGCTCAGCAGCGACGCCGGCAACTACGAGTGCCGCGCCGCCAACCGGCAGGGCACCGTGTGGGGCTCTGCCGAGCTGTTGGTGCCCGACGAGGACACCGTCACCAGGGTGGTGGTGCCCGTGGTGGTGCTGCTCAGTCTGATGCTGGTCGCGCTGATCGCCTGTCTGGCCTGGAAGTGTCGCCAGCAGCAGGTGCGGAGAGAGAGAGAGAGAGAGAGAGAGAGAGAGAGAGAGAGAGAGAGAGAGAGAGAGAGAGAGAGAGAGAGAGAGAGAGAGAGAGAGGGAGAGAGAGAGGGAGGGAGAGAGAGAGAGAGAGAGAGAGAGAGAGAGAGAGAGAGAGAGAGAGAGAGAGAGAGAGAGAGAGGAGAGAGAGAGAGAGAGAGAGAGAGACCGCACATACACTGCATCAAACATCGTTTCATTAGCCTGTCATTTTACTGAGAAGGCTTCAACATACGATGATTATGATAAATGTTACCCCACCTCTCTATACGTGTTCGCTGTCGTCCTGTTCGCTCTATCAAACTACGCACACCGGCCACAATACACGCCACCCCTGACCACCCCTCCTGTCCGTGCCCACTGCCCACAGGGTCTACAAAAGCGGCTGACCCGGCTGGAGCTGGAGGCGTTCCACAAAGGGCGTCCCGAGCAGATCAACCCGGACCTGCCGATTGACGAGCAGGCCGAGCTGCTGCCTTATGAAGAGGACGAGTGGGAGTTCCCCAAGGACCGGCTCATTCTCGGTCAGTGCGGTGCGGTGATTAGAGGTCACATGGAATCACGTAGCACTAATACGGGTCATACGGATCAGTGGAGCACACGGGCTGGGTCAGAGGTCACCTAGGGTCTGTCAGAGGTCATACGTTGGTTTAGTCGGGGCGCCTGGGTACAGTCAGGGGTACACGGGGTCAGCGTGGGTCATGTGAGGTCAGTCAGAGGTCACAAGGCTCATAAAGCGATAATTAGAGTTTGGGGTTGTGGTACTAAGCACCTAGGCCCGAGGGGTTGTTACTCCAGCATCCATCAGTGCCCTTTTGTGCCGTTTTTTTTTGTGTGTGAATACTCCGCCCGTCACACTCCCCCCCCCCCCCTCCCCGCCGCAGGTCGTCAGATCGGCTCGGGCGCGTTCGGCCGAGTGGTCAAGGCGGACGCCATCGGTCTGACCGCCGACCAGCAGCGCACCACGGTGGCCGTCAAAATGCCAAAGTCCGGCTCCGATCCCGACCAGATCCGCTCGCTCATGTCCGAACTGAAGATCATGATCCAGCTGGGGAAGCACCTGAACGTGGTGAACCTTCTGGGAGCCGTCACCAAACACGCGGCGCAGGGTAGGTGGTCCGGCGCCGCGGGGTGGGTGCTGAGACGAGTGGTGGACGTCAGGGTTGGATGAGTATGGTGTGGCAGGGACTGGGGCACGATACCCCCATCAGGCATCGGTAAAATCCTTTTTGAAAGGATTGCATTCCCAATCCACATTCCTAGTGCCGAAGTGGATTGCATTCCTACCCGCAATCCCCTTTTTTCACTTGGATTGTGATCAAATCTGCAATCCTTTTTTGCAATCCTGTTGTATTATTATGTGCACTAGTGGATCTGGGGGAGGGAGGGGGGCATAGGGCCGTGCCTCCATCCCCAAATCACCCATTTCTAGTACCTAGTCTTGCGAGTAATTCCTATCTAAGGCACAGGTATTTTATGGGAAATATTTTTTGCCTCAAACACCCCTACATTTAAACCTCTACCCAACCAGTGTTTTATATTTTTAAAACTCGCCCTCAAATACGTAATTTTGCCCTTCCTATGTAGTTCATCAGCGTATATTATTTTGAGCGTTTAAATTAAAAGCGTTTAAATTATTTCAAGTTTTGATGTAAAGCCCTTGATAGCAAAGTACATACATTAAGCCGATGAAGCCGATCTCATAATTTTCAATCGCAACAAACCATTTCAAAGCACTAATCAAACACCAAAACACGCAATCCGGATTGGATTGCAAAAATTGGAAGTATGGTGCATTCCAATCCGCAATCAAATCCTGTTTTTTATGGATTTCAAATCCAGGTGCAATCCACCAAAAAGGAATGCAATCAGGATTTTGCAATCCTGCAATCACAATCCTACCGATGCCTGCCCCCCATACGCCATGCCCATTGGTTCGGGTTGGCGGGTTGGTGTTCGATACAGAGTAAATTGCATTGCATATTCCTCTGCATGTGGAAGAGGGGCTCTACTTGGCTCAGCCGAAGCCTATGGTTCAGTTGTGAGGGATCTGTATATCGATAGTTACCCGTTTACCAACAGACATTGGGATACTTACGGTTAACAGGCCATTGAAATATTTAACTCACACGGATACCCTACCGTTCATGGAGGTTTTATACTGTAATGGCCCGCAGGATATCATTCCTGTCGTCATGAGACTTGGAGGCTACATGACCTTTACCCCAATCGTTAGCAGATGACCCATACGGTGGATTTGATGCGCGTTTTCGGCGAGTTATGGGGTGGTGGAGTACTGTCGCCATGGTAACCGCATCAGTACCTGCACCGCCACAAGAACAGCTTCATCAACCAGGTGCACCCCATCACCGGTGAGTGCTAGACGCGAAACATCTACCAGGGATGCGGAGCCGTGGAAATTTCAAACGGCTCCGGCTCCGGCTCCGGCTCCGGAGAAAAGATCGCTCCGGCTCCGGCTCCGCTCCGGGGAAATGTTATGGCGGCTCCGGCTCCGGCTCCGGCTCCGAGTAAAATGGTCCGCTCCGGCGGCTCCGGCTCCGGCG